TTGTGGGGCAGTTTTGAACGCGACTGTATACCCATACATACGCCATCAATGCAAACTTTGCTCAACGCCGAAGCACAGCCGGGTGCGCCCCTTGGTAAAGCCCACCACGAAGAACTCGCCTGGTCAGAAACCGAACAACAGACCGGCTGGACATCGAGCCGGGCACGAGGGCAAAAGTCGATTCGGCCAAGACCTCCCTGTCCTTGAACATGATGGTATTCGAGGTATATACGCTTATTCTAACGGATCTTACAAAGGCGTTGCCGTCGGAACCAATCTGCAATCCTGAGCCTCTGCTCGCTGACTCACACTCCCTGTACGGCGCACATCTCTCTGGCCGCGAGCCGAGCGCGAGCCGAGCCTCCTCGGTTAACCCGCTTGGCGAGATGTCTTGATGCGAGTATGGAAGTGAAGTCACTCTTCCCGCAAGACCGCAACGAGCTTTTCGCCTCTTACCTTTCCTGCCGCAATAAGAGGCAGCCCGTCTTGCAAGATGCATTGCAACACGCTTTGGACGTTCGCCGGTCGGCGCAGCGATTTCGAAATGTCCCTTGTAGGCATTGCTCGAAGGCGTCGAGTCTCGATCCAGTCTGGCAGCGACTCCATCATCCTGGAGGCTTCCAGCGCGTCCTCGGGCGAAGCAGGCCAGGTGAGGGCAAAGGCGACCCGGACCGGCTCACCAGATGCTGTGTATGACATGACCGCGGCGAGGCGGACACCTCGAGGGAGTTTGGGTCCAGCAAAAGGCATGCTTGGCTGGCTAGACACGATGATTGCCTCGCCTTGATCGGGAACGGTCAGACACCTTGCTGCCTTTTCTGTAGTCGCGGCTTCGCCAAAGGTATCGATGGCGGCCCGTATGGGTTCGAGCTTGCGAATCTTCTCCACGACGTCGGGGTCAGAATAATCAAAGCAGAAGTCTGCGCCCAAAGATCGCAGGAGATCGTGCTTGCCCGCTGAAGCCGTGGCGATGACTTTGCGATGTGGCGATAGGATCTTGGCCAGTTGCACAGCGTGCATTCCAAACGCCGTTGCGGCGCTCCAGACGAGCAGCGGGCCATCATAGCTTGCCAGCGAGCCTTTCCTGTCCCCGTGCTGAGCCATGGCACCCGGATAGCCGAGAAATTGACGAAGGGTGAGCATGCTAGTGACCATCCCAACGCCGAGGGAAGCGGCCTCTTCCATACTTGTCCCGGAAGGCACTCGGAAGACCGAATCTGCCCGACAGCACAGGAATTCAGCAAAAGCAGCAGTCCTGTTGTTCTGGCCGCCAGGAGCGAAGCCAGCGATGCGATCACCTTGCTTGAAGCCCTGCACCTCCTTTCCTGCCTTCTCGACGGTGCCCGCCCATTCACAACCGCACACCTTTCCGGACAAGGTCAGGGCGCTGAGCTTGATGTCTGCTGGATTGAGGCCTACGGCATGAACGCGTACGAGGAGCTCGTCCGCTCTGGGTTCTGGCACAGCTATGACTTTCTCAGTCGGGCTGCGGAAGATTCGCGAGACGATGGCGTGCATGTTCTGTTGAGCCATGGTGTGCTCAGGGACGAAAGCTGTAGGAAAAGACTGATCCTGGAGCGTTCGTTTGCAGTAAGAAGCGGCAGATCGTGATGATCGAGAGGCTCGTGCAACGATGTGAGAATGTCGAAGTTAGACCAGATTGTCCGGGCGCCCGCCTTAGATGCGCCCGCCTGTATATAAACGGTTGACCCAGAAGAGCACTTGTTTGACAGCCGGCCCCCAGCTGCATGGCCAAGGAGACACTTTTACTCCGCCGCGCTGGCTCTGATGGCGTGTGTCTTGCATCGGCAATATCTCCTTCGGCCTTTTCTTCTTCGGCAATTTTCTCCAGAAATTCCCTCACGATCCCCCCCTTTCCGAGTATTTGTTGCTAGAGTCTTCGGCGACACCCAGGATGGAAAGGCTATCTCGCATTGTGTTGGCCTTGCCGAAAGCGGAAGCAGAAGCCTGAGTGCCAACCGCACCTCGACGCCTTCGAGGGAGGCGGGCCTCGGAGATTAGCGGCATCTCGCTTACAGTGCCGGCTGCCAGGTGTCAACTGCAGATTGCGTGCGCGGAACGTGAATACAGATGCGCACTTCATATGGACCGCACCACTCAGCCGGAAACAGAAGTACAGACCTGCGAAGATGGCTCTGAAAGCCCGCGGCGATGTCCAAGTGGCTGCTATCTCCGCAGTGGCGCTTACACGCGTCAACAGGTATAAGTGCGCTACAGGACGACAAGTCCGCCATCATCTGTCTCATCCGACCTTCATCCAAACGCCCGAGCTCGTATGGTTAGGGTTAGGGTT